TGATATCTGGTCAAGCCCTTAAACGGGTGTTCGCTTTCTTTGTGGGGAGGGAACATTGCGTGCGGGTGGGGAGTAGCTTTGTGCTCAGGCAACCTGTCCTTAGTGGCGTCCCGCAGGCCTTCCTATTGCGGTCATTTTTCTACGCGACCTATCTAAATGAATTGCCGGGGTTTTTAGCAGTATCATCACTAATGTTTACTGACGACCTCATGGTGTGGAATATTCTGGATATCCCGGGGGTCCGGAGGCAATTCAGGATGTCTTGGATAGGCTCTGGGAATAGTCTACCTTATGGTTGATCTCCATAACTAAGGCGAAGTTCTGTCCTCCGAAGTGGAGTTGCTAGTCCTCCCACGAGCTATGTTTTCAGCGGTGGTGAAATCCTTGTTGTCACACAGCAGGTTGATTTAGTGGTCGTACACTCATCAGCACTTCATTCCAGCCACAATTGGAAGAAGGCTGCTTGTCGAGGGTTTCGTATGATGGGTTTATCGGCCGCCCATTCGGAATCCTAACAGCCAATTTGTTTGTGAAGCTATTCTCGGCATTCATCCGATCACACCTGGAATATTGTATCCAGGCTTGTCAACCATGTCTTATCCGAGACAAAATGGACCTGGTGAGGGTGTTACAAGTAAGTACACAGTTAGTGCAGTGTCTACGGGGACAGACGTATGGTGAACGCTTGCTCAGTTTGGGGAGGTACTCCATGTACTACCGAAGGATAAGAGGGGACCTGATTCTCACTTATCCTATTTTGACGGGTGAGATCGGCGCGCTTGTCAGGGCTAATTCGTTCCACTAACTTACCTAATCTCTGCAATCACCCACTGCAACTGCATAAAACACGGTCTGATATGATTAGGACGGAAACCCCTCTGTCGCATCGAACTATACATTGCTGAATTCGCTTTCAGATGATGTGCTTAGGGAACCTACTGTTAAGGGTTTTGCGTGCCAGCTCGATGCCCTTGGATGGCAACAGCAAACGTTTCCTTTTTCCTAACTGACTCACCACTTTTCAGTTCCTTTTTAATGACTCAACCATCTTGGTATTATACTTGCTCAGTACTTTCTACTTTTTCTTATTGCTTTCGGAGTTTACTTTGCTGTTTCTTACTTCAGGTAACTGGCCCATCAGGAACTGCTAGGCCAGGATACGTAGGAATTAATTGATTGGGCAGGGAGTGATGCCGTCTTTGTTTTAGGTCCATCTGTACTTCAAAGTCTATCAACTCCTGATTCAATGACCCGCTGAAGAGGGAACATTCACGGGATAATCCTATCGTTTCAATCCCATTGAAACTTTAACTTGAAGGTCATGTGAGGTCGCTTACTGCGCTTCGCGCTACCCCATTGGGCTCTGAGTTAGAATCAGATGCCTTCGCATGCATAGCAGCGACAGCTCTCGATCCAAAACGGTGACCTCAAGTAGCTCGAGACGTCAACTTTTGGCTCAACATGAGGACTGTGGGAAATACGCCGAGATTATTCTGATGATAGGTACACAACAGAAATCATCTGATTGCTGAATTAGTCCTGCTTCATGGTACAAGCGCTGTCGGCCCCATTTGTCTGCGCAGACCATTGGAGGATTCTGAATCCCAAATTTCGTTCGGAATGTGCAACCTGGCTTGTGCCCGCAGCTGCAGATAGGTTTGTGTAATCAATGGTACCTGCGCATATCCATAGTACGTGTCTTCGCTGTAAACAAACTATAGGCCTGTTTGACAGGACAAACCTAGTTCCACCACAGTGTAAGCCATCTGTTGTGAGCAGTTTATCCCCTATGCCGTAAAGTGCATGAGGTAAGTAACTTTGGAGAACAGCTACATTCCCTCTCTGACCCAATCGACTTTAAGTGCGGAGTGCCCCAGGGTTCAGTACTTGGTCCACGACTATTCCTAATTTACTTAAACGATCTCGCGAAAGTAATCAACTCCAACTCCTTACTCTTCGCTGATGATCTCAAGATGTGGCGAGCCATTAGAACAACCAGCGACAATGCAGCACTTCAGGATGATCTGGACAGGGTCTACGAATGGTCAACTCAGAACCTGCTTCAGTTCAACGTTGCAAAGTGCAAGGTGTTGAGCATCCGCCATAAAGCCACTTGCGAATACAGACTGGGGGATCAAATATTACAGCGCACTACAACGGAATGCGATCTAGGAGTGGTAATGCAGAAAGATCTGGGCTGTTCCCATCAGGCCGAGAATGCCTCCAAAAAAGCCAACCAAAACCTTGGCCTTTCGCGGATGGCATTCGGGAGCTTCGATCCTTCCATCTTTTCTCAGATGTTCAACGCCTACATTCGGCCTCATTCTGAGTACGCCATCCACGCTTAGCAGCCATGGCAAAAGCAAGACCTTACCGCTCTTGAAATGCCACAACGAAGGGCGATCATAACGTAAAGGGCCTGTTTCATCTCCCTTACCGATTGGGGCTGAAAACCCTCGGGGTCTACAGTGGACAATATTGACGCCTGCGTGGCGAATTGATAATGACTTATATGATTCTGAGGAATCCAAACCATTGTTGTCGTCACCTACTAAAGCTGAATAGCAATACAACACTCAGAGGACACCAGCTAAAACTGGCCACACAATACAGCCGGATGGAATGCCGCCGGAATTTCTTTTCCCTTCGTGTGTGGCGACACTGGAATGCTTTTTCCACATACGCTGTTTCTTCCTCCACGCTGACGGCATTCAAAGGACGTCTGGATGATTCGCTTATCCACCTACATTACGCTATATAATCAGAGATGTCCACGTCAAACAAACGCGAACAAACGGTGCTCATTCCCAGCTTTTATGCTCCACTATTTGCACACTGCTGTTGTGGCATATAGTTTCGGATATATTACAACTACATTCATCAATTTATCTCAGTCCAAGAAAGCGGCGCACGAGTAAGCGTTGGTCGTTTCTCTTGTTCTTAAGCCATGCCTAACCCATATTACTTCCCATATTACTCTACAGTAACAATTTAGTACACATTCTACAACGTTTCTATGAATAAGGGGCACTTGAATTCACTAGACGCTTAAACTGATGATTTACACTTATGTTTAATTTCACTTCAACCATCCTACGGGACTTGTGAAGCAATCGCTTTTTTACCTGTAATATATCATTGTTCATTGTTCATCACCACAGGCAATGTGGCACCCTATGGCTGCAACAACTAAGAAATAACATAGCTTTCCTCTACCACCCTCTAAAGTTACGAGTCCTCAAAAGCTGTACAGCCGTCGCACTACAGACTGGTTTATTCTAGTCCATTCGAAATGGAAGGGACTTGGCAGATTTTCAGAAGACCAGTTGCTTCCTAGTAAGCCTCAGTATAAAGTAAGCAACCATTGGACTAGAGCTTGGCTACACATAGAGCACAGCTTCAAACGGTTCATACCAAATATGGCACTCAGCAATCATGGGATCGATTCCAAGAGAAGTCGATGAGTAGAAAACAGATCAAAGCACCGGAGGCCACTGGTCATGCTGGAAGAGCAAACTGAACTTCAGCTAATGCTCAGAGAACTATCTGGAGCCGTGATGTCTCTGTGTCTGTGGCTCCGCAGAGTCCGATCGAAGAGATTGAGGACGCCAATGATATCCGATCCCAGATCATTTTCTTCGCAGCCATATTCCCTTAAGCTAACTAAACACGAGTAGCAACCAACTTGATAAACCACCTTTTGCCACGAGTATTGTTGCGAAAAAAACTGTAACAGAATGCAACGAGCATATGACAATGAAAGCAATATCTACCTCGGAATGTCCAACACTCGTTCGACAAAGCGCTTGTTGAAGCATCGAAACCATGCAGTGCAATTACTTTTTCGACCAAAAAGACAAGTAGCAGGGTTCCCAAAAGTCGTCTTTGCTGCACTCTACTCTACAGATAATTTCACGGTGCCTAGTCGTAATCCAGTAACCAAATGCGTGGAGGTTTCGGCTAATATCTCAATGGTCGCGGGTTAGAAGACCACTATGTCAACTTGATGTGATTGAATGAGATCAAAACGCGTCATTTTGTGCAGTGTTTTGGGCGGACAGCATCCAGTTTGCTTCTGGTTGGGCTCCGGTCCCCGTGGTCTCATTGACCAAGGTTCACTTCAAGGTGAATCGCGGTATACGTACAGATTGCGTGTCGCAATCCATTCACACAACGAGTACTTCAAAACTGCCCGGTCATTTCAATTCTGAGTGTGAACAATGCGGAAGCACTACGACACATGAAGTATCCGTGATGCAATCAGGTGATGTAAGACAAAAGATATAAACAATACCAGCTGTGACACTTACGGCACGTAGGTGAAAACAATGCTTCTGAGCTCTGGTAGATGAGTGAGGACTTCTTTGACTGCGTTGAGTTCTAATTCATTTCTTACTTGTTCACCCATACCCAATGATGTCAGGTGCTCAAATCTCTTCAGGTGTCGTAGCGCAACTGCCAGGGAGTCATCTCCATCCTCTCGCTGAATGGGCTGCTGTGGTAAGTGCAGCCAAAGAAGATGTGAGGGGTCCACCAGAAGCAAAATCTCAGCTAGGAGTCTTGGCGATTGAACCATCCAGTCGAAATTGATGGGGCGCAAATTAAGTTCAACGAGAGGAAATCCAGCCGCTGAAATATATCATGCAGAAAGTAAGTCTCATAATTCCAAGCAAAGCTTTGTCGACTAACAAATGAGTCCCTACAAATCCGCCTATAACGCAAGTAAAATCAATAGTCGCTCTAGCAGCTTCTCTCAGAAAGTTATTGGATTGATGGGAAAGGCGCACCTCCACAAGTGTAAATCTTTTCCCGCACGGTAGTAAAATGGGTGATCGTAAGGGATGGGATGCACTATTATTGTAAGGCCGTACTACGTACCGATGCTACGGTGCCATTCGTGCTCGCGGGTTAAGGATACAGCGAAGTCGCTTCCATCAACGCAGATTCGAACCTCTGGGTTTCGAAGCAGTCGCGGTTTACAACCCGACCACGGGCCACTCATTGTGACAGCCGGTCAAATAATCACGTAGGATTCCGCGCTGTTGGTGAGTCCCATTTTGGCAATATAGCCGTCCATCATTTTCTCAGACGGCGGTGGCTATGCTTGGCAGCGAAAGCACTATTAAGAAGAACTCGCTGATTAAGAACTTAACACTCAATTTGGGGCAGATTGTTACGATTTGTGTGAGCAACGAGAATCCCAGCACGTAGGTTATTAGAAGACAAAATTACCTGCTAACCTATGGAGCGAGTAGTGCTTGCAATACCACGTAGTCTAGGTGCCAACGCGCCAGCTGACAGGCAGGAGACACCTTTGACCTCCACTTGAAGAACTCAATAAAAGTAAAAATCGGTCACTGAGCGTAACACTGCATATACCTATGTCTGATCCGGTCTCTGCAATCGAATAGGTCTGAGTCTGCCTTAGGGTATATTCGGATCCGTCGGCCCGTAGCCTAGAGGCAACAAGCTTGTCTCGTAATCTTGCGGCGCGGGTTCGAATCCGCGTAGGGGTTGGCTTCCTCGCGGTATACTCAGCTGGCGTGCAATTGGTGGTGGTCGCACGGCAGCGAAACTCCGTTACGGCGTACAGACGCCACATTATTATTACTTTAGATTCGGATCCAGTCTGAAATTTCGCGCCGCAACTCGTACATGTAGCAGCCAACTCAACCCAAGGATCAAACAATGAAGCCGAGGGACGTGGTGGTGTTTCCGCAATAGAGAATGCCTCACTTGTCGTCACACACCACACAGCGCTAGATATTCACAAGGCCTAATTGACTACAGCAGGATCATGAAAGAAGAATCAGGAAATTAGATAACTGTATAAAATCACATAGCGCACATAAAATACTGCAATGTGAGCATGAACAGCAAGAATTAGGACCCACAGCTGTCAGCTTCCATTGGTGAGACATTACGAATCCCATGTCGGAGTAGTTGGAACATACTAATGACGCCAACCGGTTCTGGTTGCCAATGTGCCTCCGCTTGATTCACAAGCATATCGTTCAGGAACCATCCGACCAATGAGGTGTAATTACAGCAGAGAAACGAAAAATTTGACCAAGAACTCTCCGCGAATACTGAAACAGGGGGCGAAATAGCTCTGAGAAATTTGTGCAGTGATCCCCGGAGCTCGCCCCGGCGATACCGTCACCACATCGCAACTCATTCTGCAGAGATAACAGCTGGGCTGTCTTCATTGAAACCACCTTAGCTGTCCCCGATGACATCTCTGTCCTCACCGTCCCAAGCCGCATTGACTCAACTTTAGCTGTCCTCGTGATGTGGCGTTCAGAAAGCAAACACCACGGCACCAGTAGTCAGTAACATAGAAGTACTAGGAAAAGTGGACGAAATCGGGCCAACAGCGGACCGTACCAATGTCGCAGAAGCAGAACAGAGGTTGGGAGCCGCAAATATGTGTGCAGCGAAATGGAATACTGAAGCAGAGTGTGTCACGTAGGTTCCAAGAGAAGGTGCATATGATGGTCGAATTTTCGCTTATCATAGCTGATGCATATAGTTGACGAGATTTGCCACCATAAGCCGTTCCATTTGTACCTTGGGATTTTACAATTAAAACGCTACTAAATGGCAACTCCCGTAGCATATCAACATTAATATCCCTTATTATGTATGCTACGCTGCTATACTATTAATCCATTACTACTCACGAAATCGGGGTGGTTTGTTATACTTTGCGTCAACATCATCTGGTGAGTCCACAGATGCGCGTTCCATTTTAGTGAAACTTATTTCGTGAACTTACGTACCACACAAACCATCCTACGGGACTTGTCAACCCTTGGATATTTTCATCCGTATTATACCATGCATCCATGATTCCATTCGCGAAGATGGGGCCAAGAAACGTCGGAATCAAAAGTCACTAGCTGGTCTGAGTGGACTCATCGACAACCCGGCACACGAATAGGCAATGCAAGTGCCGACTTCGAGTGAAGCAGGAAACTAGTCTTGTTGTTGCCATTCGTTGACCTTCCTAACCCGAAGGGTCATCGATAAGTAGGTACAAAGAAAGCTTACGATGGATGAGCCTATAGCACTGATGAGACCGAAGGCAAAACCACTGCACTCAAATGCTACTGAGAGGCAACCAGCATGTCGGCATGCTGCGAAGAGCATTCGGGAGATTTGACCCATCAATCTTCCCAATGATGCACAATTCCTACGTGCGCCCGCATGTTGAATACGCTATCCAAGCTTGGCAACCTTGGTTGAAACGCGACCTAGAAGCGATAGAGGCACCACAACGGAGAGCAACAAAGAATGTGCAGGGTCTGCGCTACCACTCTTATCACCGAAGGCTGAAGTTGTTGGGAATTTTCAGCGGGCGCTATCGAAGACTGCGCGGTGATCTCATATTAGCCTATCAAATATTGAGTGACCCCAATCACGTATGCAGCCATTTGCTGAAACGTAGCCACAACACGCAGCTCAGGGGTAACTGCCTAAAGTTGCAGGAACAATACAGCCGTCTAGAGTGTCGACGGAATTACTTTTCCCTTCGGGTTTGCAAACCTTGGAACGCACTTCCTGACTTAGTTGTATCCTCTCCTACCCTGGATGTTTTCAAAAAACGATTAGATGTCGCTCTTAGCTCCCAACATTTTGTTACCTAAATTCCCATACTGTGGATTACGCCAAGGATGAATTTCTACAGGCTTTATGTATCAAATGGACCTAAGTGAGCGACCATATTTTACTTTTCTCACTCCTTACCTCAATGATCACTGCACCCCAGTGTCTTTCTGCATGTTTCCGCCCGATAATTTATTTTAATTTTACACTGATGTTGCTTATCAAACTATTCATATCGGCAGACGTTCGATAGATGACCCAGACATATTTTGATTTTATCATATTCACCTCAACCATCCTACGGGACGTGTCAAGCACTTGCTTTTATCCCGTGATAAATCATTGTTCATTGTTCATTGAGTGTTGAGTAAACAAACCAACGAGTACCACCGAGGCGATATCCCCAATACGTGTCCACAAAATCATGCCACCGATCCCTGTGGTACAAACAACAACTTATCGGTTCGATGCAATTTCAGTCAATTGATTCCACATTTGTGAGAGTGGTGTGCGGATGAATCGTGCGAGTGTATATCAGCTGCGAGTGCATGCCAAACGTTGGTCTTACACGTGATACAAGGCATGCATACCGCGCAACCCTCGATGTTCAACTTGCAAGTGTTTTATCTCTCCAATGTGCTTCTGTGTTCCCCGCCTAACCCAAACTGTGAGTAAGTGAGATCATCCCCGATGGTAAAAATAATGCATTCTCGTTGCCAAACTGTATCACCTCGGTTGACCCGAGGGAACGTTCTCCACCCACGACACGTCTGAGTGGAGAAACTTTCAGGTGGCCAAACGTTGCAAAGCTGAGCAATCATGCGACATCACCACCGAACGAACCGCGTTAAGTAGCTGACTAGAACGAGTGAAGATAAACAAAGTCAGCAGGAATAGGAATCACTATTTACTACACCTAGTGCCCCGCGGCCACCAGACTTCAGTTGACGTGAATGCTGAATATTAAAAACAGAGAGCTAGAAGATGCATGGCTGTGTTCCTCTATCGATGTAACCTCGGGTACACCACCAGACCAACGTTATTTATCGTTGCACGGTGTCAATAGAGTGTGATGTGCTTAGACCATTGCCTCATTGTCACTATTCCAATATTTCACGACTCGACGCTGGAGCCCTTGAGCGTGAGCAATATTCCTCACATCAGCTATTGCCAGCTTGTACCGGTGCCCACCAATGCTACTTGATGCAGTATGCTGAACCAATTATCCTTCCGGCAACCAGTAAGACGCCACATACAAACCCCGTGCTGTTTGTGCGAATAAATCTAGCTGAGTGAGTGCAAGGTCACTAAACTAACAAAAGACCAACAAAATGTGATATCCACGCTATTGCAGTCTTCTCATCAGGCTACATTAAAACAAGTGAACCGGTGGCTGCGTTTCGGCCAGTATGTTGCCATTGATCCGACAAAGAACTGATGGTGGTACGAGGGGTGCCTAGCAACCGGCAAAAACTAGTACACAAAACCAAGTCTTCAGCGAAACTTTCAATAACGAGCCTTCAAAATACATCATTCATGGCAAATACGCTCTATCTGCATCTGGCTGGTAAACGAGTATGAGCTCATGCGATCATGGAGATGAAGTATCTAATACACTTATTCTCATTCATTGATTCTGCTATTGTTGGTACCGTGGTAATAACAGATATTTTGAGCGAACGGAACTAACGATGGGCCAACAGCAGTAAGTCAGTCGAACACCATCCACTTTGCTGCCCACGGATGAATGACAGTGTTACTTCGGCGCAGTATGAGCTAATAATACCGTGGTCCTCGGCTGGGCGGAGCAATTTAGTTAAATTGCCGGCGAGGGAACAGCACGCACGCGTCAGCAAACCAAAGCTCACAGCACACTTTGTGATGACAGTTGTGCACCTTGGTGAGAGGAACGGAAGTGAGACCGGTGTACGGAACTCACTGAAGCTTGAGCAGATGTATGACACAAGATGGATTATGCTCACCAAGAATGATGAGCAGCCTGGTCTCAGACGAAGTGCGTG